ATGGACAGGGGAGAAAGAGAAATGGGGTGAAGAGATGTCATATGCATGTATCAGTTTCCCCAAATGAACCTCACTATTCTGTTACCAACATGCATGCAAAGCAAAGCCATACACAAGACCTCAAAATTTAAGCAGAGTTTTAATGCTGGCACATGCCGATAATCTCAGCACTCTGGGAGGCTGAGGCAGGAAGACCAAGAGTTCAAGGCCAGCCAGGGCTACGTAGTGAACTTGAGGCCAGCCTGGAACACGAGACACTGTCTCAAAAAAACAAGACAGTCAATTCAAATAATTTATTTGAAGGAAAATTAATGGCTGGGTAGAATATCTATGAAAATGCCCATCCAGACCCAAGAAGCCACAGCAGGGCCCAGCCTCTGCCCCGGCCAGGAGTAGGGACAGCGCCCTCCACTGGCCTGAGTTCACACGCCAGGGCTCTCACTGAAACGCCCGTGCCCCGACTTCCATTTGGCTGGTGGGATCCTGGTCCCTCAGAGCCAAAGGCCACAGCCTGGGTGTCCCTTTTCAGTTGCTAAGCTGCCCCAGTTAGCTGAGCAAGGACAAGTACAAAATAGAAAGCCCTGGGCAAGAATTGAGAAACCAGAGCAAGCAGGGCTGTCAAAACATCAGGACACCAACAGAGGTCCACCCCAAGAGGCCCAAGCATGCACAAACCCCAGAGCACAAGACTCTGGCCTGGGTCCAGCCTCGCTGGCATTGCAGTCCCCCATCCCAGGGGGCTTTGGACACTTCCTCTGAATCCTCACATGGTCAAAGCCCACTTTGGACGGACAGACATACGGGTAACTGAGTCAGGTGGCCCACTGGGCCAGGGCTCCTGTTGGTCCCCAACTCCAGACCCTCCCATAACCCCAGACCTTTAGAGTCTCAGGACCAACCCTATGGGGCCATGAGTTCTCCTTCCTGGCCACCCCACCATGTGGAGTGGACATTCACGCAAGTCCATCCTAATAAATGGTACGCTCAGTGTTTTTAAGTGTCCTGCTCAATTACAGTATTGGCTTGAGACACCAAGAACCTGGAAACAACTCTCCCAGGGGCCCCTCTCATCTGATAACATGACCTTATTTTTTGTGTTTTTTGAGACAGGGTCTCCCTATATAGTTCACGCTGACCTCGAACTCACAACAGTCCTCCTGCCTCAGCTTTGAGAGTGCTGGGATTACAGGCTTATGCCACCATGCCTGTCTTCTCTGTGATTTGGGGTAAAGTTTTTTTTTTTAAAACAGACTTTTAAAGATTTCAGTATACTACCTACTTTGAAAAGTTAGTGATATTGTGGGGAATATCGCTGGTAGGTACACTAGCGAAAGGAGGTTCTAATCACACTATAATCACTTCAGAATGATTCATCTCTTCCTAAAGACTATGCATAGAAAATGCCCCCAAAAAAGAAAAAAAAAAAGAAAATGCCTATGTTGGCCATTATTTAGGACACAGGAAGCCTCCTCCTGCAACTTTCCTGCTTTTCCTCATTTCCTCCAGTAAGGAACAGGGCGTCAGTCGATGAGACACTCACTGCATGGAAGGGGATGAGTGTGGCGATGAGAGGGGAATGTTTCTCTGCAGTTAAAGCCAAACTTACTGGTGGAAGTTTTCCCCCATTCCCTCAACGTGTCTGGGCTTCCGGACACTGCTTCTCAAGCCTCTCAGGTATTTTCTTTGTTCTCAGGTTTATTACTTCTATCTCCCCAGCAAATGTAAATGGGATGGGGCTCTGTGCACTGAGCTTGCTGTCCGTAATGTCTGATAACCGGTGAATGTGCTGGGCCCAGATGAACTGTGCCCTACGTAACCAATGTGAAGTGTTTAATTCCAGCAAGCCCGGCCCCTCCCAAGAGTATAACCCGCCCTGCTCAGCCCAAAGCGAGGTCAGTCTCTTTGTGAAGTCCCAGCCTGACCCGCTGGCGTTCAGAATAAAACCGTACACTTTGCCTCCAAGACTTCTGGGGGCGTCTTCCATTCTCCTGGACTTCCTGTCTGTACGTTCCGGCTGGCACTCTGCTGTTACAGCAACACGGGGGGGGGGGGGGGGGGGGGGGGGGGGGGGGGGGGGGGGGGGGGGGCTGGTGCAGCCAGGACCAGGACCAGGACGGCGCCCCGGAGTGGCCAACTGTGTGGGGAACGTGCAGTCCCCTGAGTGGGAAGGCTTCTGGTTCTAGAATGGCGCAACGAGCTCCCCAGGACCTGCCCTTGGCCTCAGGCCTGGGCATTGGCCCAGGGACTTGCGCCAGCACCCAGGCCTGCCTGGGCTTCTCCTCTGCCTCACCACTCCCGGCCTGTCGGCCAGGTGCGAAGCTGGAAGCTTCTTTGTTCTCCTAAGGAAGGGAAAACACCATCCCTCCCCCCAGGACTGTTCTGAGGGCCAGAGGTGTGAACAAACCCTCGCACACAGCAGGCACTGGTCAGCTATGCGAGCTCCATCTCTTTCCTCTCCTTCCCACCTCCCAGAGTGTGCTGAATCGTGCTCCCCCAAGCGCCCTCCCCCAGCCCCTCATGTGATCTCATGGTGCACACATGATCGCTGTTTTGCACAAATGCCTTTCAACATCAAGATGCCTTGCCCCGACCCAGGGGCTGCTCCTTGATGCTAAGCGCTTCTCCATCAGGGCTTGGCAAGGTGGTCGCTGCCCTCGTTCCCCAGCTTTATGTCAGAAACCAGCCCTTCTTGATCTCTAAACACACATCAGGTGAGTCAGACATCGGGTTATTTTTTATACACATGCATTCACTGTATTTCAAGTTGAAAGCAACATTTCAATGGATTCAAAACTATTACACACTGTTCTTTAAAACAGGGTAGAAGCTAGGCGTGGTGGCACATGCCTGTAACCCCAGTACTCAGGAGGCTGAAGCAGGATGGACAGGAGTTTGAGGCCAGCCTGGGCTACATAGCGAGACCTTGTCTCAAAAAAACACACTAAAACAAGTTAGAAAATTTATAATTGTAAAAATGAAGTGCACACTGATATTTAGAATGCATAATTAAGTTAACAAAGTTGGTAATCTATGGTACTAGGCCACATTTGGCTTGCTGCCTTTTCTAAAAATAAACCTTTATGAAGCCAGGGATGAAGCTCAGCAGCACAGCATCTGCCTGGTAAGCGTGAAGTCCTGAGTTCAACCCCCGATACCAAAAACAAAGCTTTATGAAAACACAGCTGTACACATCCATTCCGACCCAGCACAATCTACTGCCAACTTTGTGCTATGACACCAGGTTGCGTTTGGCCTACAGAGCTGAACAGTTTGGGTGCTCGCTTCGGCAGCACATATACCAGAGCTGAAGTTTGGTACTGGCCAGGCAGAAGCTGCCTTCTCGACCAGATCCTAAAAATTCCTGGGCTCTGAGTCTAGCTGCCTCCCTGCTGGACAGCATTGTCCATGTACTCACACCTTCTTTCCTGGGGCACAGAGGGTAGTGTGTGACTCTACTTAGCTCTCAAGGGCACCCATGCCTGGCCTCTGGGCTTTGCTCCCCCACCTGTTCACTTTGAACATTTTGCTTTGAGTCCTGTCACAGCCGCCCAGAAGCCAAGAACTTCGACCGGGCCCGATGTTGTGACTGACTCCTCCACCCTCACTGACCCTCATCTTCCACAATACTTGGGCAGGTATTTTCCTTCCCACCCTGCATTTGGCACCCTGAAAGATGGCCCTGTGTATCATGTCAGAAACTGCACTGAGGCAGACTAAACACTGACAAGAACTGCCTGAGGAAGTGGTAGTCTTTGCTCTTGAGATCTGCAGAATGGAAAAGCGTCTCAGGACTAGGCAGCTGGAGATGGAAGGTGCCTATCTGGCCACAGACCTCCATCTGAGGTGGTGCCCATCAGCCTCCGATCACCCATGTTCCATGTAAATGGCCCTAAATTGGCCTCTGGGCAAGATGGAATTTAGTTTTTTGGGTGTTTTTTTTTTGGTACCAGGGATCGAACTCAGGACCTTGTGCTTTCGAGGCAGGCACCAGAACCACTGAGCTAAATCCCCAGCCCCAAGATGGAATTTAAACAGGGGTTCTCCATCTTCTTGGACAGATGAATTCTTGAATAAAGACATCTTCCCTGCCTCAGCACCTAGCCAGGCATGGTGGTTCATGTGTGTAATCCCCGCACCCTCAAAGGCTGAGGTGGGAGGATTTCAAGCTAGAGGCCAGTCTGGGCTACTTAGCGACTTAAAGAGGCCTTAGCTAATAATAAAAGAAACAAAGGGCCGGGGATGTCACTCAGTGTGAAGGCCCTGGGTTCAACTCCCAATACCACAAAAAAACAGGAAACAAAACACCTTGTCCGTGGATTTAGCGGCCTGTAGTGTGGGGAGCAGCGGGACGAGGGTGAGGTTATCGGCAGTCCTCGCTTGCTGGTCCTGTGGATCCTCCCAGCAAGTCAGCAGGCCTGGGTGATCGTAGGCCCTGATACATGGTGGACTTGGGCCCTCTGGGAAAGTGCTGTGATGCCTAGGAAAGCCACAACCTTCCTGCACTGTGGTCTACCTTCCGGTCTGAAGGAAAGGTGCCCCACTGTCCCGCACAGCTTTCAGGGCCTGTTTTGAGGCAGGGCGCATTCTAGCTCCGTCCGTTGCCGACTCCTTCATCCTCCTGGACTTAGGCGTCGAGGGCCGGTGTCTCGCAGCCTGGCCCGCCACCTGGAGTTCCACAGGTTTCCCTGGTCTTCCCTCTGCCCTGAAAAGCGGGAGCGCGTGACACGCCCAGGCGCGTGCGGGCAGCGGATGCTCTGCGAGCGCCGGCTCCACGCTGCCCTTCGGGGCGGTCGCAGCCAAGGGGCTCCCTCTGGCGAGAAGGGCTCACGCTACCCTGCCCCCTCGCCGTCGTGGACGTCGCAAGAGGTGCTCTCGGGTCGCCTCGCCACCCACCTTCCCCGCAGGCGCCAGTTGCGCAGCCAGGCCATTGCGCGGCGGTGGCGAGCGACCCTGCGGCGCCTCGGGCCCGTGACGTACGGGCGGCGTCGCAGGAGCGTGACGTGGCCTGGAGACGTCGCGGGCTGTGACGTAGGACCGGATGACGTCAAGCGCGCGCCGCCGCTTAGCTCACGTGCGGAGTTGGCGAGAGAGACCATGGCTCCAGGCGTGCAGCTGCCCCCGGAGATCCAGCTGGCTCAGCGCCTGGCGGGCAACGAGCAGGTGACCCGGGACCGGGCGGTGCGGAAGCTCCGGAAGTACATTGTCGCCAGGACCCAGCGGGCCACAGGTGGGCAGGGCCTCCGAGGCGCGTGGGGCCTACGGGCGGTCGGCGGCGCGGCCGCTTCGCCTCTGCCCGTGGGGGCGCTGGCGCGTGGCCGCGCTCCAGGGACACCCCCGACCCCCACTTCCTTCCCCAGACCCGGCCTACCTTCCTCTGGGAAAGCATCACCGTCAGATCGGGTCTCCGGCTGCTCGGGCAGCCGGCTGTCCGAGCCATTCGCGTCTCCTCCGCTTCCAGCGGGGCTCTGTCTGTCCGTGTGGCATTGTCGCCCGGGTGCCGCTGTAACTCCATGAGGGCTGAGAACCTGCCTTCTGCTGACTGTTCATTGTGCCTTTTTCATACGTGCTTGTCTACTCTACCCCCAGCAGCTTCACCATCACCTGGGTGTTTCTTAGAAATTCACATTCTGGGGGCCTGGCCCAGTGGAACCTGAAGCCCTGGAGCCCCGTGGTCCAAGGATCACCCCTGCAGGGACAGGCTTTCCAGCAAAGAGAGCCCCAGTGAATGCCTTTGCTAGCCTGAGTGATGAGTTAACTTCCTTCTCTTGATAGTTGAGGTATAACACAGGTGCACCCTTCAGCGGGATGCTGGAGGATGGTCGCCTGTAATCAACCTGTGGCCACCATCCAGTCAGGAAAGGGCTGCGGTTCTGAGTTGTGACTCTCGGAGTGGAGTGTGGTGGCTGATGTCTGCAGAGGCTCAGCAAGTATTTAGTGGGTGCAGAAAGTTACCTGGAGGGGACTGCACAGCCCAAAGCCAGCAGGCTCTGAGTTGGAAGGGTTGCCTGGGGAGAGGGGCAGCCTGCCCCCCAGGTCCCATACAGCACGCGGGAATTTGGACGAATCCCGGTGGCCCTGCTTCATGCCAACACTGAAGGGTCAAGCTTGTTTAGTGTGAACGCTGCTGTTTGTTTCAGGGGGCTTCACGCATGAGGAGCTGCTGAAGATATGGAAAGGACTGTTTTACTGCATGTGGATGCAGGACAAGCTGCTCCTGCAGGTGAGTGCTCAGCCAGGTGGCTCAAGAGGCTGGGGGAGGCCGGGTAGGCTGTGGCTGCCCTGTTCTACTGGAGACAGAGACCGGGAAGAGTCATGTGGTCTCCATGCTTTGGTCTGTGTGGCCTGACATGTGGAGGGCAGCCCTGAATGCCATGGCAGTGCTGGCAGTGGGGCAGCCCACAGTGGGTGGAATGAGTCATTTTGTGTTTGTCCCCAGTGTGGTCAAAAAACTTGAATACTAAAATGACAGAATTCAAGGGCAGAATGCAGGTCTTCTGAGACCAGGATTCCCACTGCTGGCCTTTAGCTCTTCAGAATCACCTGAGCATGCCTGCCCCGCAAGTGCAAGAACCTGAGTTTGATCCCTGGTACCAAAAAAACAAACAAACAGAATCACCTAAGCGTGAAGGCATTTGCTTAAATGTGGGCTCCAAGCTCACATTCTGTACCTTCTGAACCGTCTCTCAGAGGAGGCTGTGGAATCTACTGACTGAGCAAGGGCACAGAGTGATGCTTGACACTGAGGCAGCCAGGGGGTGACTTGCAGGGTCTGGTTGGCCGCATCTCCCACTGGTAAGGTGGCTCCTGTCTGTCCCACAACCCCGTGACTGTCACCTTCTTGCTCAAGGCACGGTCTCAGTCCAGAGTGACTCACTCTGGGGAGAGTCTGTTGGCCCTGCCTGCAGAAGAGGCCTTTTGCAGCAGGGGAGACTTGCAGAACCAGGATCCACCGTGCTGAGATCCCTGGCCGCTGGTTCCCTGAGAGTGAGGGGACGTTTGTGTGTGTTCTCCTTACACCCGGAGAACACAGTGCTTCAGGGACGGATGTGTTTTTGCTGTTTCCTGCGCAGGAGGAACTGGCAAGGACCATTTCCCAGCTCATCCATGCTTTTCAGACCACGGAGGCACGTGAGTAGCTCTGCCGTGGCTGAGCCCATTCATAGATGCAGCAGTTGCTGAGAGTCAGGCCCCAGCCACACAGGGTAGTGTTCTGAAATCTGGAGCGGGACGCACCCTGTGTCTGGGTGCTGGCCGTGTGGGAAGCAGCCTACGCACCCCCTAACCCGAGTAGACTCTGCTCGGGAGCAGGCGAGATTGAGGCCCTGCCGTGTGAAATTAGGGTGAAAAGCCAGTGCAGTGGTCCCACAGTATGAGTCCCACCTGATGGTTGTGAAGCTCCCACGGTGCATTTCTCCAGCTGTTGTGTTTTATCCTGACCACGGTGAGTCATTCTCACTCTGCCTGCCCATGGGAATCATTTTCGAAGCCTTTAAGCATCCTGATGTTTTCCCAGTTGTGGTGACACATGCCAATAATCCCAGCTACTTGGGAGACTGAGGCAGGAGGATCACAAGTTCAAGGCCAATCTGGGCAATTTAGCAAGACCCTTCCTCAAAATAAAAAAGAGTTAGGGATGTAGCACACTGCTGGAGTGCTTGGCTACCACGTGTGAAGCCCTGGGTCCCACAAAGATTATTTAAAAGAGTCCCAAGGTGTAGAGCTTGGTCCACCTGTACCAGGCTCTGGGGGTGTGGCCAGGGTGTCACTGCCTTAGACCCTGGGCCCTGCTGAGGGTGGCAGGAGCTGAGCATGTCTGACGCAGCAAGAAACAAGGTGCTGGAGCCTGTGCAGTGGGTCTCCGCTCCCTTACGGGGCAGTTCCTGTGCGCACTGGTGTGCTGACCGCTTAAGCTGCCTTTTAGGTTAGATTAGGCCTGCCTAATGACCGTTTACCAACCCCTGCAAAGCCTGTCCCAGTGTGAGCCCCATGGGCTCAGGCATGTGCGCCTTGTGTCTGTCGAGTGGTATCTGGGCCTCTGTGCCAGCCTGGGCTGTGGGTCCGAGTGGGGGGCGAGCACGGGTGTCCTTGGCCCTGGGGTGCTCAGGCTCAGCCTGCTGGATGTAGCCCCCTCTTCAGCTCTGGTGTTCATGTGCCCTCCCTGTCCCGCAGAGCACCTGTTCCTGCAAACGTTCTGGCAGACCATGACCCGCGAGTGGGCGGGCATTGACCGGCTGCGCTTGGACAAGTTCTACCTGGTGAGGGGTTCTGACTGCGGGCTCCGCCTCGCCTGGGCTCCTGTGAGTGGCCCCTGCACGGTGGGCTGCTTTCTCCACAGGTCCAGTGCTGCTTTCTCGCGCCTGGGCCTGAGGACGTGCCGGGCGCCTTTCTCAGCGAGGGAGGGCCCTGGTGGAGTCTGGGTCCCGCTTCCGCTGATCCGCCCCTTCTGTGGCACAGCTCATGCGCATGGTCCTGAACGAGGCCCTGAAGGCAGTGAGGATTCGAGGCTGGGCAGAGAGGTCAGTGCATGTGAGTCCACCCTCGGGGCAGGGGCCACCTCAGCTCCTGCCTGGGGGTGGGAGCCGGCCAAATGGTTCCCTGTAATTCTTTGTCCGCTGAGGAGCGGAGGTGGAGGCAGCTCTAAACCTCTCGGGGCCAGGGCTCAGCCGGGTGCTCAGCTCTCCCTCCAGGCAGACAGAGAACAGATGCCCCTCCGCTGTGTCCTTGGTGGCCACCATCCCCAGCTCTAGAAGCCTTTGAGTCATCACACTTGTCACGCCAGCAACGGTGCCTGGGGGTGTCCATGTCCCCTACTCGTGAGCTGTTTCACGTGGGCTTTTGCAGGCAGTGGCGACGCTTGTCCAGTGCACAGTCTGGGCCCCTCTGGGGTTCAAGGTCGGACCTCAGGTGCCCTGTGGTCAACGGAGGTCCTGCTGGGGCAGCACGTTTCCAGGTTGGTGACAGCCCAGCTCCTCGACACAGAGTGGATTTCTGTGTTTACCTTCTTAAAATGGTTTCTAGGGATGAGGTCTTGCTATGTGGCTCAGGTTGGTCCCGGACTCCCAGCAATCCTCCTGCCTCAGCCTCTTGGGTGCTGGGATTACAGGTGTATGGCCATCACATCCGGTGCTTCCTGAAATATTCTAAACTAATAGACAGCTTTAAAAATAGTTTTTCAGTTATAAATGATGTGTGCTCAGTGTAAAGAACTCAGAAAACTTTCATGAAACATTAAAAAATAGGTTTTTAGGGCTGGGGATTTAGCTCAGTGGTTTCACTGCCTGCTGCGCAAGCGCAAGGACCTGAGTTCGATCCCCAGTACCAAAAAAAAAAAAAAATAGGTTTTTGGGCTGGGGATTTAGCTCTGTGGTTTCGCCGCCTGCTGTACAAGCGCAAGGACCCAAGTTCGATCCCCAGGGAAAAAAAAAAATGGTTTTTTTTCTGTGTTTTTTGTGGGGGTTTTTGTGTGCATGCTGGAGCTTACCCCAGGGCCTCTCACATGCTCTGCCGTTGAGCCCCAGCCCCAGCCCTGGAAAGTCACTTTAACTCCAGTAGATAATTGCTTTTAAAATGTTACACAGAGGAAGCTGACGCAGGAAAATCACAATTTGAGTCTCTTTTGAGCAACTCAGTAAGACCGTGTTTCACAAAAGGAGGTCTGGGGACGTAGCAGAGTGTAGAGGCCAGGTGCCGTCCTTAGCACCACGGAAAGGCTGCACAGAGCCAGCACAGGTGCCCGGTGTCTGCAGCAGCAGGTGTGCGGGGCTGCCTGCCCCGTCTCCCTGTCAGCACCCTCGTGGGTTCTGCTGCTAGGTAGCCGGCCGGTTAGAGGCTTTGGAATGGGTTTTTGAGTGAGAATCCCCCTACAGGACACGTGGGTGGCACTGGGCCCCAGCCCCATGTCAGCAGAGCTGCTTCCCCGCACTTGCTGCGCTTGCGGCTGGGCTGTAGCCGTGCTGGTCTGCAGGGCTGTGGGGCAGGTGAGCCCTTCTGGCCCCCGAGGAGGAGCACAGGTGGTGGTGGTGTGTGCCCAGGCAGCGGACAGGCAGCAGCAGGACCCTAGTCCCGGCTGTAGTCGCATGCTGTGGTTTGTCTCTGCAGCAGCCGCTTCGCCCTCGTGGTCACTGGTTGTCCCGAGGAGCTCCTGGTGCTCCCCCTGCCGGGGTAGCTGTGCTGGTCTGGCCCGCACCCTCCGTCCCCTCAGTCCAGCATGCGGAGCTGTGCGCTGTCGCCTGGTCCACTGCCCCAGCTGCAGGCACTGCCTGTTTTTCTCTTGGTTTTGCACCTGATCTGCCTCCTCCTGGGCCTGCTGGGACCACGCTCCTCCTTCCCATAGCTGGGGATTCCAGGCGTTGGAGTTGTCCAGGGAGCTCCCTTTATTTCCGTGATTTGGTTTTTGGCACAGGATCTTGCAGGGTAGCCCAGGCTGGCAGGAGGCTCCGAAAGCGCGTTCTGTAGTTGCAGGCGTGGGGGTCTGCACTCCCACCCCGAGTCTTGGGTGCACCGACTGCCGACCCCAGTCACTTGGGGCTGAGGGCTCCGGACCAGGGCCAGATCCTTGCTGCATCTGGAAGAGCTGGGTTGGCGTGTCACGTGCCCCACTGCTGCTCCGCCCATCCCTGGCTGGCCTTCCTAGTGGTCCCCGTGGGGCGCCAGAGGGCCGGATGGCAGAGTGGGGTGGTGCACATCTCCGGGACGGAGGGAGTCCTGTGTGGGTGATGGCCCGGGTCCAGATCACGCTGTGTTCTCCCATGGGACACGGCCACGCAGCCCCATGATCAGCCACCTCCCTGCCACCCAGACGCAGCGCCGCTGTTGCCCGCTGCTGAGTGTAGAGGGGCACCTGGCTCTGTGTTCCTCCCGAGCTCACAGCAGACAGTGGGGGTGCACGGCGGCGGCTGGATCACCCCCCACCTCCTGCAGGGACATCGAGCAGCTTCTGGAGCTGCTGACAACCGAGATCTTGCACGAGGACAGCCAGGCTCCCAACGGTGTGAAGAGCCACTTCCTCGAGGTCTACCTGGAGGAGCTGGCCAAAGTGGGCGCCGCAGAGGTGAGGCGGGCTCGGGAGGCTGGCGTGGCCCAGGCTGGCCGCTGTGCGTGCCAAGGCTGAGCTGCTGCCCTTGCTTCTGCAGCTCACTGCTGACCAGAACCTGCGGTTCGTGGAGCCCTTCTGCTGGATCGCCGCCCTCACCAAGGAGTAAGTGCAGGCGGGGGTGGCCTGCCCCACTTTCCCTCCCTTCTGGGGCAGCGGCCTCAGGAGCTTCAGCTCCCTGGGGCCCTGCTCTGGGTCCAGGAGGGTGGCAGGGTGGGCGGCGCTGCCTGAGTGTCCAGCTCTGCGGCCCCCTCAGCTCCCTGGTTCTGCACAACATCACTCGGGGCATCTTCGAGACCATTGTGGAACAGGCCCCCTTTGCCATCGAGGACCTCATGAGGGAACTGGATGAGGAGGAAGGGGAGGAGGAGGCGTCAGGTGGCGATGACGACTCAGACAGTGACGAGGAGCTGCCTGGCCAGAGGCCACCTGCAGGTGCGGGGCCCGCTAGCTCAGGGCGCCCGACCTCCTGGCACCCGTCCTGGGCCGGGCCCCTGGCTTCCTGCTGGGCCAATCCCGCCGCCTCCTGGCTGGGCCCGTTTCCAGCCTCCCCCCAGGGCCCCGGGGAATGTGGCAGCCAGGCTGACCATGGCAAGTAAAGGCTCCCTGTCCTGGCTTACCCAGCACACCAAGCACTGCCTAGCTCCCCTGCCCGGCCCAGCTCCTGGGCGGCTCCTTCCAGCCTCAGGGCTCCCTGGGTCTGCTGGCCTGACTGCTGCTAGGCTCTCCATCCCCATTTCCCTGCCCAGTCACCCACGATTCTCCTGGCGGATTTTCCAGTGCCTGCCACCCCCCGTCTGGACCTCTAGAGCTAACTCCTGTCCCATGCCACCTGCCCCTCAGCACAGCCTGAGCCCTCAGCACCTCCCACATCCTGTGTCTGGTCCTGCCACCCGTCTCCCTTGTGGAGCCCTGGCTCTTCCTCTGCTGCCTGCAGTACCCGCCGCTCTGGCACCACCTTCCCTGGGCTGTGTCCCCTCCTGTCCACACCTTGGTCCCCTGCGCCCTGGGAGGCGCTGTGGCACTGGGATCCCCCCAGCCTGTGCCCTGCATGCCAGTGTGGGGCTTGGGTCATGGGGTCCCTTTTCTTCTAGGCTCCCCGGAGCAGAAGTGGGATGACGAGGACAGCACCAGCCCTGTCCTCCAGGTAGGCGCCTGGCCCTTCACTATCCTGCTGGCTGGCTTGGAAGGGAGACAGTGTCACAGGCAGGTGGCAGGCGAGGCTTGGGGACCAGCTGGGTCTCAGCTGTGGAGGAGGCGCCCTGCTTGCCTGGCTGCCAGAGGACTGGGGCGGGTGGGGCTGGGGTGCCGTGCAGCAGGCCCAGGCTGCCTCATCCTGGGCACCGATATTTGGGTCCCAGCCTGGAGTCAGCTCAGCAGGGCAGGCTTGGGACTAGGCTGTCATGAGATATTGGTGCGCCTGCCTGTCAGATTAGGGGACTGGGGACCTGGGGTTAAATGAACTTGTCGGGTTGCTCCCTCTTGCTTGCTCTCTGCCTGCCTGTGGGGGGGAACTGAAGTTGCCATGAGGGCGGCCTGGCAGACAGGGACGGCAGGGGCTGTGCTCTGGGGCCGAGCAGAGTCCCCTTGCTGGCCGCGTGGGGTTCAGGGTCATGAGGCACGTGGGCGGTGGCTGACCTGGCCTCTCCGGTGTCCATTTCTGAGGCAGTTTGACTACAAGGCGGTTGCCGACAGGCTGTTTGAGGCAGCCAGCCAGCAGAACACCCCTTCTCAGAACAGGAAGCGCCTCTACAAGGTTGTCCGCAAGTGAGTGCCCGAGGCGCCCGGCCTCCGCCGCAGGCCACGGTCCCCACAGCCCGTCTGCGCTGTCCTGCGGCGGCCTCAGCCTGGGGGAGGCCAGCGCCCAGGCAGGAGGGTGTCTTGGGCCCACGGAGGGCCTCGGGGCGCGCAGGGTGTGAAGCCACCGTGGTGACCCTGCCTGTGTTGCTCTTGCAGGTTGCAGGACCTCGCTGGAGGTGAGGCTGGGGCCACGCCGCGTGGCCCAGGCTCAGAGCATGGGGCCCTTGCGTGCGGGGTGTCGTCCTGTGTGGCTCTGGGGAGCAGGCGTTCAGGGTGCGCATCGGTGTGCTGCTCGCTGAGTGGCCTCAGCCTGGAGTGTCTGCGCACCCGGTGTCAGCAGGCAGCCCTGTTACCCTGAAGTGTGACACATCCACGTGGAGGGCTGGCTGCCACAGGCTCCCTCTGGGACAGTGTGGCCGGGCCATCGGCCTCTGGGAGTCAGGGCTGGTGCAGGCCTTTCCTGTGCACTGTGCCCGCTGACTGTCCCCTCCTTCTCAGGGCACTTCCCTGAGGACGAAGTCCCGGAGAGGGCCTGCAAGCGTCTGCTGGAGGGGAGGCGCGTGCGGAAAGGGAAGCGGCGCTGGCTGCAGCAGCAGGCACGGAGCCTGAGAGGTGGGGCCCGAGGGGACCAGGGGCAGCGGGCACTGGCTGGAGGTTATCTGTGCCCAGCCCAGGGAGCCTGCAGCGAGGGCAGTGTGCTAGCCCTGCTCCCGTGGGCAGGGAAGGCTGGGGAGGACAGCGCCAATGGGGGGCAGGTGCAAGGGCCAGTAGAGGATCGAGGATGGGGCACACGGGGCTGAGGCCCAGTCCAATTAGAAGGGCTGGGGAGGGGCAGCCTGGCCCGAGCAGTCCCCGCTGTCGGAGAGGAGGTCCCCACAGATGGCAGCCCTCGCAGAAGGCAAGGGGCGCCAGGGAGTGGCCCCCAGGACACAAGAGCAGTGGGCGCTGGGCCAGGGTCGTCTCCTGTGGCCTCCCGCCCAGCTGGCCTGCTCCCCCTCCTGCGCTCCCCGCGCCTGCGCGTCTGCCCCTCGCTGGCCTTTCTGGAGGCCCTGCTTCCCAGCCCTGGGCTGTGGCATCCACATGCCGCCATCTTTGGTCACACAATGGCCGGGCAGCCTGCTCACGTGACCGAGCTGCTTTGGCAGGGGAACCTGGAGTGGAGGCCGAGGCCCTGAGCCCAGGAGGTGAGATGAAGAAGAGCCGGGGGAGGCCCAGGAGCACCGACCCTGCGCCGCGCACAGGAGCTGCTGGCCGGAAGGGGCCGCCCGGGAGAAAGAGGCGACCTGGGCAGCGGCATGGCGCCCGAGCAAAGGCGAAGGCGGCTGGGACGCGGGAGTCAGCGAGGAAGAAGCAGCGGCCGCTGGAGAGCGGGCAGTGGCGTGGCCGGCGGGGACGGGTGGGGGCTGTGCGATCCTCCAGCGCCGAGCCGACCTGAGCCTCGGGATGCCTGAGCCCCACTTCTGCCCTGCCGGCATGTGGAGGGCGGGCCCAGGACGGGGAGGAGGTGTTGGCCTTGGGTCGGAGTCGAACCTGGAGACCTGAAGCCCTCCACGTGACTCACCCGTGCCCTGGGCCACCAGGGAATAAAACCCTGCGGGTCCAACCAGCACTCTGGTGGGTGCCCTTGTGTGCTTGTCCTGAACCCGCCTCGGCCCCGCTCCCTCAGGTGTGGCCGCAGCACTGGTCCCTAGTGCTGCAGGGAAAGCAAGCCAGGTGTGGTGCTGCCCTCCTGTGATCCCAGCATTCTCTGAGGCTGAAGGGACGATCACAAGTTTGAGCCCCCTGGGCAACCTAACGTTGCCTGGGTGAGATCCTGTCTCAGAGGAGAGGATAGGAGCGTAGCTCAGTGCAGAGACCTTAGGTTCAACCCCCAGCACCACCACCACCAAAAGGAAGCAACCCGTACACCCACAGTGTAGAAGTTCCTGAAAGGGCCAGGGACGTAGCTCAGCAGCACCTCGCCTGCCTGCCAAGCGGGAGGTCCTGAGTTTGACCCCGGCACCAAAAAACAATTCCTAAATAGGCAACCAGTCTTGGCCTGATTGCGTAGTTGCATCACTAGTGGGGCCTGGCTTTTCTCGCAGTCTGTCCCCAAGGGGAGGGTCGCCGCGGCCCCTGTCACACAGTTCCCTGGCTTCTGTCCCATTGCCCTGGTCTGTGCCGGACCCACAGACCTGGGCACTGGGCTGCACCCGGGCGTGGGCACTGCCTCACCGCTTCCACAAGGCCTCTGAGGCCTCACGGGGCTCTGGCACCTGCCCAGGACCTCTGTCCCCAGGACACCTGCAGCCCAGGCCACAAACAGCCCTCAGCACAGCCCCTTGTCTCACTTCTTGCTGCTGAGACAAAATACAAGAGCAAAGCTCTTTTATTTAGCTCAGTTTGTAGAGGTTTCAGTCCTTAATCAGCTGGCTCCGAGTCAAAGTCCAAGTTTTTTGTTTTTTGTTTTTATGAAAATAAAATCTATCAGCGTTTTTTTTTTTTTTTGCTTCACAGTCATGGCAGACAGAAGGTAGCAAAGCAACAAGGGACCTTAACAGTGTTTCCTGCCCCTTTTATCCACACTACCCAGGGCGGGCAGCACTCGCACCCTTAATCCTAGCGGCCTGGAGCCTAGCACTGCACCGCGCTGCACCATGGGTCAGTCCCAGCGTCACACGCTGTAGACCCAGCCACCTCTGCAAAGCCCCGCCTGTGACCACATGAGGCGTTGAGGGACATCTAGGCACAGCCATGACACCCGTCTCGGCCCTGTCAGGCTCCTGTGGACTGGGTCACGTGGGGTGCCCTTCCGCCTCTCTGTGGCAGGGCCGGGAAGACTGGGGAGGTGGCCCCCCTTTAAGGCCGATGAGATGGTGCATGTGTGGGAGCTCTTGTGTGAGCTCCCTGGTGGGCTCATGAGGCCAGTGGCCTCGAGGTGATCAGCTGTCGCTTCGTGCCCAGCCATGTCTTCCACTGGCCACTCCTTCCTGGAGTGCATATGTCCTCAAGGCCTGGCCGGGCATCAGAGCCCCATGCTGAGAGTTAGGGCCTGTGGCCACTTCTCGGTCTTTCTAAGAAACGGCTTCACTGGGCATACGGCCTTCCTCTGAGGCACCCATCAGTGGCTGCCACACGTTCGCAGGGTGGTGTGGCGGTCACCATGCCGGAACATTTTTGTTACTAGAAAGAACCTCAGTGCCCGTTTGTTTCGAGCATCCTCCAGGAGTAGCAGGCTGTGACCAGCCGGGGTCCAAGTCAGCCACAACAAGCCAAGGCCCTGGCCCGGGAAGTCACCGGACCGCGCACCTGCGAAGGCAGCCTGGTCCGTCCCCACCAACCGCTGGCTCCCTGGCTGAGGCCCTTGCCTGACTACCTGTCCCTCGGACCTGCACCAACGCAGTACCACCACCTGCCTCTGGGGGGAGCCAGGGCCTCCTGGCATCCCTGGTCCCTGGGTGGGGGTGGGGTTCATTCTGGTTTCCAGGGAAATGGGCACCCAGAGGCTCCTAACAGCTCTGCAGAGCTGCCACCTACGTCCTCTGGCTCCGGCTTTGGCTTCGGGAGGTCAGCGCCTGGTGCCTCGGGCTCAGGTCCTGCTTCTCACCCCTGCCCTGCGCTGGGAGATGCTGGCTGTTCAGTTAGAATTCTTAGAGGAAATTCTGCCTGAGACAAATGGAGGCTGTGCCAGAGCGAGAGCGGGCATCATGGGCACAGGATGCTTCTGCCGATCCTGACTCTGGCTCACAAAGAACAGCACCACCCCAGGGCCCCTCCTGAGCCCCGAGGCCCGTTACCCACCGAGAGGCCGCTCTGAGGGGTGCATCTGGGCCACGCGCAGCCCTGACCCCTGGGGGTGGCCAGGGGAGAGCCTCGGGTGTAGGGAAGGCAGAGGGTGGCCTTTCCCCGGTGCTGTGTGGGGCAGGGGACGGTGGGGAGCCTGCCTCTTCACTCCGCTCCTCAGAGACCTCCGGAGCAGGCCGGCAGTGCCACCCACAGGCAGAGGCGGGAGGATGCGGGCATGGTCCCCTTCCCCTGGGAGCCGGAAACGACTCCCACGTCCTGGCGACCCCAAAGCAGGTGCGGGTGTGCCGTGACACGGCCATGTCCTCGTTGACCTCCCCAGCCCATCCTCTGTGAGCCTATCGGGAGCTCTGCAGGTGCCCCAGGAAGGCTGTCACCCTGTCACCCTGCAGAGAACTGAGCTCGCGGTCCAGTCAGGGTGTTGGGAGCAGGCGCAGCCTCGCTGCTGAAATGAGCTTGCTCCACACAGGCAGAGGTGCCCCGTCTGCCCTCCCAGAGGCCCGCCCTCAGCCTGCAGCCTGCCCCAGTGTGACCCCCGGGCACCCTGGGGTGAGTGGAGATGTTCCGCCGGCAGCCCAGGCTCCCTTCAGCGTGCTGTGCCACCCTGTGAAGGGCATACAGCTCTCCCGGGCTGTGGCTGCCACACGGCTCGCTCAGGGCCGTATTCACCGAGCCCGCCACTGTTATGGTCCCACCTTTCCCCGGCTCTCCCTTGGGCTGTGAGGATGCCACACCGTGTCACAGTCCACTGACACCTCTGAGGCTCCCTCCCGCATGGGATCTGCTGTGCTGAGCACTGAAGGCCGCGGGTGGGGCCCTGGGGGCCTGGGAGTTGCGCTGGAGACCCTGGTGTGTCGGGTAAGAATACTACAGGCAGTCAGGCAGGGCTGGGCCCTCGAAAGAGGACAAAAGATGAAAACACATTACAACGCATCTGTGGGGTCAGGCCTCAAGGTACAGACGGATGACCAGGCCTGCCTACTTCCCTGCGGATGAGGTGAGTGATAACACCTGGTCTAGTAAAGTCTTGACAGACAGCAGCCACTCCGTGGGTGACCCAGACTTCGGGTATACTTGTAATCTTACTGGTTGGTCATAATTCTGTCCCATGTTGTACCCACCTTGTGATTTTGCTCTATGAAGCTTCCTGAATAAAGTGAGGTCCCTGGCAACCCATTCGGGTTCCCTCCTGTCTCTCAGGAGCTAAAATCTCTCCCTCTTAATAAATATTTGCTACTCAACCTCTATTGTTCCTTAAAATTCATTCTCCGATTTTAGAGAACCCGAACTTGGTGTGTGACGTCTGACGGGTGGAGAGCCGTATTACCTCCCCTCTGTCACGTAGAGGTCCCCGTCACTGGGAGGTACTGCAGTGCCCAGGCAGCCGTGCCCCGGCCAGGGGGCCTCCTGTGGCCCCAGGATCCTCATGCTTCCCCATGCTGTGTTTGCAAAGCTTCTGCAGTGGCCTTGTCCCTGCGGGTGTGAGCTTGTGAGGAGGCCCAGCTCCTGCTTCTGCATAGGGACATGGGAGGGTGGAGGGGCCTCCCGGGCACAAGGTTCTTGCCATCCCTGCCCCGCGCCAGCTGCCACGGCCCTGCCCCTCCCTGTCCACCACCACCTCAGATGTGCCCCAGCCACCCCATGGGCTCGGGCCATCCGCAGAGGCCCCCGGGGCGTTGCCCAGAGGACAGTGCTGAGCTGAGGTGCTGGTGAGCGCTCTGATTCCCCAGGGCACTGCCTCATAGCCGTTACCGGCCTCACCCAGGTGAGGAAGCTGCGAGCTCCTGGCCTGGAGGGTTGCTCAATGCCGGACACTGCCGGGCAGGGGGAGGGAACCCAGGGGCACCTCCCTCCCCATCTGTCAGGCAGAGACTGGGAGAGGACCCCCCCCCCGGTGGGTTGAGGGCTCAGCACACGCTTGTGAGACGTGTGGCAGGCACAGAATGGCCATCAGCATGTGTCAGAAGTTGGGCTAGAGCCAGCCTCTCCCAGCAACAGGCAGGCTGGGCAGAGGAAGAGTGCGCCCCTCGGGGAGGCAAGAGAGCAGCGTCAGAGGAAGCTGCATCTGTGGAGCGGCCTCTTGCAGCACGAAAGCGGGCTCATCTCATCATTCATAGCTGGAGAAGGAGGCGGCAGAGCCCTGCCAACCTGCCAGGGGCGTTCCTCAGCCAACAGCTCAGTTAATTGTCCCTCGTGCTCTCTTGAAATTTGAGGGCTGTGGTACAGTAGTAATCTGCGTCTCCTACGCAGTCACCTATGAATAGTGGGACAGACCCCTGCAGCGAGCAAGGAAGGCCCTCAGAGTAGCAATTAACCCGGGAAGCGAGGCGCAGCAGCCGAGAGCCCCGACTCTCTGGCTCCCCTCAGGCCACGCGGGCGGGAGGGAGCCCAGGCTCCGCCCCACGCCTGGAAGGAGCCCAGAGTCCGAGCAGCTGGCCCAGCGCCTGGGGCCGGGTCGGAGACGCGTGCGATGACCAGCTGCGTTGTAGGTGCCCGGGTCACCGGAACCGGAACCGGGTCCCAGCAGCGGGGGCAGCCGCACTCCCTCTGCCCGAGGAGCGCACAGGTGGGACGCACAGGCCTGCAGACGTCCAGGCAGAGCGGAGCGAGGGCGAGTCCCCCTGCAAGCGGACGGCGGGCGGAGCCACGCAGGCGTCCCAAGGGCCGGTCTGGGTGCCCTTACCGGCCCACACTCACTCCCCGGCCCGGCCCGGGGCCCTGTGAGCTCATCTCCAATTTCTCAGAAGTCGCTCTGGGGTGGCGGGCGTCTTCCTGTCCTTGTAGATGCCCAGTGGCTCCTGGGGCTCTGGTCGTGGGAGAAACTTGCAGACAGCTCTTCTGTAACCCAGGGCCAGCCTGAGGCAGGGTCTCCACAGAGCGCTTCCTTCCCTGACGTCCCTGGGCTGCAGGCCGGGGCAGGCGGGAGAGCCGGGGCCCTGCTCTGGGGTGCACGCCAGGTGGCCGTGTCAGCAGGACTGGGCACTGCGCATGACCGCGAGGTATCGCTGCTCGTGGGGTCGCTTTGCGTCCGAGACCTAACAACGCCGACGACCGTGCCCTGACGCCTTTCCTCGCTCACTGGCGATGCGCGCCGTTTTGGATCCGTGGCTTTGTCCCTCCAGCCCGCTCGCACCTGACAACACCGTCACCACCACAGCCCAGGGTGGCTGGGTTGGGTGGAGCTCGCCCACCCCGGAAGCCCCTGCCCGTCGGACTGGAAAGGCTTCTGCCCAGCTCCCTTCCGTCTCTGCTCTGGGGCAGAATCGGCTCTGCTGTCCCAGGAAACAATGCATCCTTCCCGCTCAGAGGCATCAACTGGGCTCGGAGCGACGGACCCCGGCCCCAGGCAGCTCTTGCCACCCACCCTGCACCCTCTCGGCCTTCAGGTCCCTGGTCCTCACGGGTGGCCCGGAAGCCCCAGAGCTCACATTTCATTTTGGCTGCCTTCATGCAACAGGAAGTTCATCCACAGAGCAATGTGGGACCCCCAGTCCCCTGGGGTCACCAGGCCTGCTGCAGGGCAGTGTCACAGGCTGATTCCCGGCATCACCTGGCCAACAAGGGGCCACTCCCCTGTCTCTGTACCCTGCTGCACCCCAAGTAAACTGAGGCGGTCAGACACTGGGATCTGCAGTGGGACACTGAGCTGCTGTATGAACGGCCGGAGCCTGCAGAGGTAGAAGCCCAGCCTTCCCTTGGGTTCGACTCTCTGGACCCTTCCCTCCTCACCTGCAGGGGCCTCTGCTGGGCCCCAAGCCCCTTGCCTGCTGGCACTCGGCTTGCCCCATGGGGCTGGAGTACTCCCCACCCCACCCAGGGTAGTGGGAGGCAGGGCCCTTCCCACTTTCCCTTCCAGGTCCTGAAGAGCTGCCTTCCAGGACAGCCCAAAATACTCATCTCTAGAAGCTCTGGCATTGAGGAGCTGCATCTGACTCACGTCTCAGCCCCATCTCCTCTATCTGCACCCACGCTGCTGGGCTATTTCCAGCACCCAGGAACCCAGCGCTGCCCTTCTGCTCCCGGTTGGTGTGTCCGAGTGGAAGGAGCTGCCCAGACAGGCTCCTCGAGCTGACAGGGCTGGTGAGCTCAGAGGCAGCCCCTGTCAGGCTCTGTGCCATCACCCTGCAGTGGGTCAGCTTAGGCGGGGTCCCAGAGACGTGTGCCTGCGCTGGGGACGGGACCCAGGAGCTGTCTTTCTGGGAAAGGTCTCCATACACAGCCACGCCCAGCCCTCTTTATCCTTCATCTGGAGACAGGCTCTCCCTAAATTGTCAAGCCTGGTCTCGAACGCATGATCCTCCTGCCTCAGCCTTCCAAGTAGCTGGGATTCCAGGCCCGAGCCGCTGTGCTTGGCACGAGTCCTGGACATCTGGGAAGCAGGAAATTGGAGTGTGGACGTGGCGACCAGTGACACATCTCGTCTGTGCCCTTCCCAGCAGGCAGTGGCGGTGGCCTGGGGTTAGCCGCAGTCCTGCATCCCTGACGGGGAAACCTCAGACCTCACTGGCCGCCTGGCCTGTGGGCAGGGAGGGGTTTTCAGGGCCCCGTCCCCTCCATTCCAGCTTTCTCCGCAGCGCAGTACAGGAGGGGCATCTGCCCTAAACAGCAGGGCTTCTTTTCCAGGCTTGTTCTGGCCAAATTCTTACCGGTGGGGGAGGAAGGTGGAGCTCAGCGCTCACATGGACCCCTGAGGAGGTCGGGCCCGGCTCAGGCAGGGAGCATGGCCCTGCGGACGGCCGTGGGCACACACATCGCACCCTGGGCTCCTTTCGGGGTCAGCTGTGTGCTCATGGTCGAGCCCCGGGGCTTCCTGCAGGAGGGGAAGTGCACTACGTAGAAACGCAGTGATGGCCCAGCGATTCCCTGGGTGCCACACGGCCCTGTTCCACTCATCAGTCACTATTCCCAAGTAGTCGTCTTCAGTAGCAGCTGTTACTTGGGCAGATCATACAGCTGGGCGTGGAGCTACACTCCTGGGATCCCAGCACTCAGGAGGCTGAGGCCGGAGGGTCACACGTTTGAGCACGGCTTGGGCAACTCAACAATTTAACAAGACGCTTTCTCAAAACATAAAGCTGGGTGAGGTGGCACACACCTGTAATTGCAGAACCCGGGAAGCTGAGGCAGGAGGATTGCTGTGAGTTCAAGGCCTGCCTGGGCTACACAGTGGGTTCAAGGACAGCCTGAACTACAGAGCAAGACCCTGTCTCAAAAAGAAAACCCCAAAGGCTGGGGATTTAGCTCAGTGGTGGTGCACCTGCCTGGTAAGCACAAGGTCCTGAGTTCCATTTCCAGTACAGGAAAAAAAAAAGGATGGGAATGTAGGTCAGTGCAAAGACCCTGGGCTCAATCCTTATTACTGAAAAGAAAGAAGGATGCAAAGAAAAGAAAAGAGAAAAGGAGAGGAGAGAGGAGGAAGAGAGGGAGAGGCAGGAAGGGCAGTCGGAGAATTTCCGGCACCAGATTCCAGGGCTGGCTGTGACACTGCAGAAGGCGGCGGTGCAGCACGGGCAGAGAGTCCGCGTCTCCTCGCAAGGATGAGGACCTCTGGCACGTGAAGGGGTGGGGTGCTGTGTGCATGGCCGTCACTCTGTCACTGGGGAGTGGCAGTACGGAAGCGTTGAGTTAGGCAGCTCTGCTCTGCGGTTGGCTGGGATGCGAGGCCGGACAGATGACTGTCCTCCAGGTCTGCCGGGCACAGGTGGAGGCCATCGTGGTGTCACAGTGCCCTTCCAGGGAGCAGAGACCCCACGGCGGGCACTCCCACCCTGCTGCCTTGGCCACTTGCTCTGCACCCCTGGAGCACTGGGAGGGTCTTGCTGCTGCTGTCACTTCTGCTGGCCTCCTCGTTCGCTGGGGTGGCAATTTCAGCGTGGCTCAGGGAGGGCTTGTTGAGGGGAGATCAGGGCAGCGGTGGGGCACTTGCCTCTCTCAACAGGCCCAGGCTCCATCTTAAGTGCTGGAGAGAAAGGAATGAAAAAGAAAGGGAGGAAATGAAGACAAAAAGCCCTGACCTGCGGCTGCTGAGCCCCCAGGAACCATCCGCTCTGCCTCAGGACATTTCTGGAGGATGAAACACTCAGACAAACTGGGAAAGACACCCCGGGAGACAGGCGGGCTGTGCCCTGCACCCTGAAATGGGCTCGGGCAGAGGCAGTGCGCAGGGTCAGAGGGACGGAGGGGACGCAGTGCCAGGGGCTCTGCCCAGAGACACCCGCACCGGACCTGGGTGCTCTGCAGGCGGCTCCAAAATGCATCAAGCAGGGCCGGGCAGAGAGAGGATTCACCACGAGGAAAGTCAGGAAGGAGAGGCGGATGAGACAAAGCCGCCTCAGGAAATCTCCAGTCAGTGCCAGGGACAGCGCATGTCCTGACTGCATGTAATTTAGAAACCAGAAGGAGAAGCCAACTTTGCGAGCCCTACGTAAAGTCGGGAATTCCAAAATTCTCTTCTGAGTAACAGAGGCCGAGGAGAACACAGGGGAGGCAAGAAGCTCCGGGGAAGGGATGCTAAGGGAAAGCTCGAGCCGAGCTGTCTCCGCTCTGCAGTGTCCAGCACAGCAGGAAGACCTTCAGACCTCCCGTCTGACGACAGCGCCTGACTCCTGTGTCCTGGCCAGCTGCAAACTTCCGGGCAGGCTTGTCCCCAGGTGGGGGACAGAAGGCAGCAAGAAGCATCCTCAGGGTCTGATACAGTTGTCGGGGTCCTTGCCCGAAACGCTGAAAGCTCAAACATGTTTGGAAGCCCACAGCACCAGGCCTAGCCCTGAGCCCACCTCCTCAGACTCCCAGGTAAGCCCTGCGGCCTGGTTCCTCCCTCTCTGCAGCCGCCCCATGTCCTCAGCCGAATCCACCCGGGAATACAGACCTTGCACACGGAGCGGTGTGTTCCCACGGAGCAGACACTCACCCCCGGCCTTTGTCAGCTGGGTTGCTGGGGACACGGGTGGAGCTGCCAGCAAGGGGGCTCACTCATGGGGCGGGGGGAGGGGGCAGACGACAAGTGAGTGAGGAGACCCAGTGACTCCGGATCCAAGAGGCCGAGAGCACCCTGAAAGCAAGCAAGCGTTATTCCACAGGAGTCGCCTCCTCCCCCAGGTGCCAGACAGCCTAGAGCCTCTGGAAGGGATCCATCCACCCACTCACTGTGTTGAGCTGCTTTGTTTGGCAAAAATGAGTAACACAGGAGGGAAATGCAAACCTGGAGCTACAGAACCATCTCACGGTTTTGAACACCCCTAAACATGGAAGACAGACAAAAGACAGAAGCAAAGGTGTTCTGCAGGGGTAAAGTCTGCCTCAGCCGGCGGGAGGGAGGGCCACACCCCCTTTCCCTAAAGCCAGTTGCCCCAGGCTTTATTTCCTTACCATTTTTTATTATTTTTTACCCAATTACTCTATGCATCATAATTTACTTTCAAAATTCAGATTGATTAGAAAATGTTAGTTTCCCCCCCCTACAGAATAATATCCATAGCACCTTGGGTTTGATAGGCTATTTATATATGTTCTAATCACATACAGGTGAGCAGATGGGTCCCAGAGGCGCCGGGCGCTTGCTGTGTGTTCGTGTTTGGCCTGCTTTCCTGTGTTCCTGAGAGACTGGGCCTCTGAGCACCAGCGCAGTGCTGAAGTCCCGGAGTTTCCTTGACTCAGAGAAAGGTCACCCCTGAGCAGCTGTGGACCTGACTGCTGATCACGAAGCCGCTGCTCTCCAAGGGACTGCGCCGCTGGACCCGAGACCACCCGCTCGCCACTCAGAAGCCAATGCTCGGGAGATCAGTGGACAGGAAGGAGAGCGGGCGCCATGGTCCCCCAGCAAGCCTCGTTAGGGGACCCAGGTAGCAGAAGTGGAAAGAGAGCTCCAGGGCCAAGGGCAGGAGGCCGGGCGGGCGTGTGCTGAGGGCCTCTGGTCATCGGGGCCTGAGTTTTCCTTTCTCTCCTGCCAGAACGCCCTGGAGACAACAATCGACTTTCTTCTCTTAGGCCAGTCCCTGTAATTCTTTAGAAAAGGGGCTATCTCCTTGAACAGTAAACACTGTTTCACTTTAAAGAACAGGATTGGCCAGTCCCTGCCCATGCTTGGGTGTTATCTGAAGATGTCAGATGTCGCAGTCTGTGGGAGGCTGGAGGATCGCTGATCAGGGCTGCTTTTCCTGCAGTAGCTGAGCCCAGCAGTTAGTGTCTTAGCCAGACAAAGGTGGTTTTCTTTGGCACTTACAACCCTGGGCAAAGGGAGACACAAATATAATAGGACAAGGGGCAGTTTGCACAGGCGAGCTAACCTAGAGGAGGGTGGGTAAGACACAGTGGTGTTGCCATTATTTACACACTGCTGGATCCCCGGGAAGCCTCCTTCCTCCTGGCCCAGCCCCAGGGCTTGTCCCTGCTGCACCCTAGGAGTCCTGTGCCAGACAGGTGGCTGTGTCTGATGGAGGCAAACTGGGCCCAACGTGGCACCTGGCACATTGCGGCCTCGGGCAGAAGACAGGGCTAGAGGAGGCCCAGGTGCGGTGTGGGAGTGAGACTGGAGACCAGGCACAGGAGCAGGGGCCAGAAGCAGGCAGGAAGTGGGCAGGAAGCAGGCAGGAAGTGAATGGGAAGCAGGCAGGAAGTGGAAGGAAACAGGCAGGAAGTGAATGGGAAGCAGGCAGGAAGTGGAAGGAAACAGGCAGGAAGTGAATGGGAAACAGGCAGGAAGTGTGTGGGAAGCAGACAGGAAGTATGTGGGAAACAGGAAGTGGGCAGGAAGCAGGTGGAAAACCTCTCCCCCATGGAAATCATCTGAGCCCCCTGGTGGGGGAGTTGGGATGGAGGAAGTCTGGAATCCACGTGGAAACCTCACTTTAGGGAAGTGTGGTGAAGAGCTCAGTGCTGAGACAGCTGCCCATGGACGGTGGGCCTGGTTGTTGGTGGGACGGGGGTACATTTTTGTCTCCCCAACCCCTCCCCAAGGCTGAGACTTTGCTTCAGACCCTTGGTGCTGTGTGTTGAATGTGTTTCCCAAGGGTTCACTTTTAGAAACCGAGTTCCCGAATTCATAGGTTTTTATTTTTTGATATTTGCTTTTTGAGACAGGGACTTTCTGTGTAGTTCAGGCTGGCCTTGAACTTGAGGCGATCCTCCTGCTTCAGCCTCCCAAGCGCCAGGGCAGCAGGTGTGCACTGTCATGACTGGCTCTTCGTTTATATGCTGATCTGATTGTATTTGAGAGGTAATCAGGATTTGGGGAGGCCACAAGGGGTCTGTAATGGTGTTGGTGACTTTTAAGAAAAGGAAGAGCTGCCGTGAGCCAGGCTTTGGCACCAGACCTGGGGTGAGTTTCGCTTGGCTGGTGGCGCTTGGTCACAGTAGCCACGGACCCTTGTGGAGGATGGTTAGGGGCTCAGGGACATGGCAGGGCCGAGGGGGGACGTGTGGGTGATATTTAAAAATCATAGCAGAGGTTCGGGCCTTTTTTCCTTTTCTTACACTCCCCTGCAGGGCAGGTTTCTGAATCTACTCATGCTTGTGTGGAAAGATAGAACCTTTATCACCATGGTTCTTATCAGGAACAGCACAGAACCCCGGGGGGTTAGAATGCTGTGCCTGGCCCCTTCCCCACCCCACTCTGCAGCTCTGGGGCGGGGCTGCTAACTTGTGCCCATTAAGCTGGGGCCTTGGTGGCTCGGCGGTCTGGGGCAGCTCTGAGAGCCGCCACGCTGCAGAGTTGGACAGGGAAAACGCTTAGCTCCTGTGTGGCCCTGAGGCTCTGTGTGGAAGGGGAGGAGGAGCAGCCATGCAGGCTTGCTCTCTCCTCACCGCAGCCCTCACTGTCCCCCAGTGCAGACAGGTAAGTTAATTAGATATCTTGTGGGCAGTTAGACGGGACAGCACACGAGGCGCCAACATGGAGGACAGTGAAGACACAGGTACTGAAGGCCAGCCCTGTGAAAGGAGAGAAACTACACACCATGTAGGATGAATAGCAGTGACTGATCTAAACAGGCATCAGTCACCTGGGTGGGGTGGCTTGTTTCCCCCCTGGATCCCCATTTGATCCATATCACCAAAGCAACTCTATGTCACAGTCTCACTGGTTGCTCATAGTTTTGTCCACCTTGTGATTGCTCATTGGATCAGTGTTACCTAAGCAACTGTACTTGTCATCTTACTGGTTGACTACAGTTTTGTCCCACCTTGAACCCGCCTCACCTTGTGGCTTTGCCCCATAAAACACCTTTGGGAAGTGGGGTGCGCGGGCAGCCCACTCTCCAGTCCCCCTTCTGTCTCGCTGGGACAGAAGCTTTCTTTTTCTCAATAGATTTTCCTACTCTTAACCTCCGTTGTTCCTAGATTTCATTCTCTGATTTTAGAGAACACGAACTCGCACTTCAGACACCTGGCAGGTTTGGGAGTCGCATCTCTTCCCCTATATCTATCATCCCCGAGAGGAGGACAAAACACAGCTCAGGAGGCGCAGACGAATCTCGGCTCGGCATGCGCAGTGCATGTCAGGACACAGTCGGCAGGCAGACCTGGGGTGCACATCCCGCAGGGTGGTGACAGGCGGCTCAGAGGGGCTCCCGTGCACTCCTGCTGAGGTGCGGAGAACAGAGGGCCAGGCCCTGCGAGGGGCCTGCGTGAGCTGTAAGACCAAACGAGGTCCCTGTGCCCCGGGATGGGTGGGAAGACAGAGGTCACCCAACGCTCACCAGCCTGGGGGTGAAGCTCCTCATGGCAGAGTGAGGGTGGCGATGATCAGTAAGCAGTTAATTATTCATAATTAGCACTGCAATCTCTATGTGAAGATGGCTTTAAAACCACTTGAAAATCGTCCTCGGCAGTTTCACTGGTTCTGTTAATTTGCAGTAAGTTATGACACCAAACTAAGAGCAAGGTCGTGCTACAAGTGCCGATTAGCGCTGCTCCTCCCAGCTGCCGGCATCTGGCTGTGTGGAGGGGTGAAGGCTTCGTCATCTAGTCGGGGAGAGAACGTTGGGGTGAGAGTGAGGAGGACACCATCCCTGCCCTCCCGGGACAGACCCAGGGAGTGGGCCGTCTTGGCCCTGGGGCCTCCATCGAGGAAGGGCGGGAGGAGCAGAGTGGCCTCGGCTCGGACCAGCTCTCAGCAGGCGCCCGGGCAAGGAGGGGCAAGGCTGGCCAGGCACGGTGGTGAATTCCAGCACCCTGGGAGGCTGAGCCAGGATGCTCAAAAGTTCAAGCCCAGTCTGTGGAATTTAGCAAGTAAATTTCTTTATTTATAAAATATAAAAAGGACTCATGTGGCTCGGTGTGAAGGCCCTGGGTTCTGTCCTCAGTACCAGGCAAATGGTGGCAGTGCGGCCACCACAGGCTGCACGTGGGCTTGGAGATCAGAGAGCAGGTGGATGTCACTCTTGGCGACAAAGCCCTGCACCTAAGGCTTAAACTGAGCAGTGTTGGCGGCAAGGCCTGTGGTCCAGGTGTTCTGTCCAACCCTGCAGGGTCACCTCGGCCTCTCCCCGGTCCTGTGTCCCTGCCAGGCCCCTCTGCCCATTTCTGGCTCCTGGGTTCTTGGATCTCCACTGAGACAGCCGAGGCCGGGCTGCACCCTGGGCCTGAGGACTGCATCTCCATGGCGTGCAGGCACAGGGCTGCGGACTCCGCGGAGAGCGGATGTTCAGGAGCAGAGGATGGCCCTGAGCTGCTGGGCCACTGGGGCCAGAGGCTGGGCTGTGCCTGTCACCCGGAGCAGAGTGCGGCTGCTCAGAGGCTGCAGCAGTTCCCACGCCTGCTTCATGCAGCCGTCAGAGAAGTGGTCACGTGTGGTGTCTTATGGGGGCCTGGGCTGGATGACTCTCTCTCTCTCTCTCTCTCTCTCTCTCTCTCTCTTCCCTCCTGTCTTCCCTGTGGTACTAGTCATTGAACCCAGGGCCTTCACATTGAGCTAAATCCCCGGTGTTTCTTCATTTTTTAAAAATTTTGTTTTTATTTTTTGGTACTGGGGATCGAACTCAGGACCTTGCACTTGCAAGGCAGGGGTGGAACCACTGAGCTACATCCCGGCCCTTCATTTCTTATTTTGAGACAGGGTCTCACTAAGTTGCCTGGGCTGGGCTTAAACTTCAGTCCTCCTGCCTCAGCCTCCCAGCTCGAAAGCCCATCTTTAGATAAAGTTTCGAGAGGTTAAGCTAGGCCCGGTGACCCTCTTCTACACTGATGCCCAGCCGGGGAGCGGTGCTGGCCAGTGGCCCACACCTGCTCGGGAGAGCCTGTCCTCTGGCCCCCACTGCCCCACGGCCAGCCTTTCTCCCCCAGGATGCCTGCTGTGGCCGCCTGGTGCAGGGGTCACCTCAGCCCCTTCCTCAAGGGGGACCAGGAAAAGGGGGTGGAGAGTGGCCAGGGCTCCAGGTGGGGGGCACCCGTCCCCCAGGCAGGGCGAGAGTGACCCCCAGAGAAGACGAAGGTAGGCGGGAGGCTGCGCTGCCTGAGGCCACGGCCAGGGTGCTGGCGAGGCCCCCAGGAAGCAGGTCCTCGAGGAGAGTCCAGGGACTGGCGGGGGGCGCACGTCGGCAGCAAATGAGCAAGGGTCTGGCAGTGAGAACAGTTACTAGACACCTCTGCACCGCCGTCCTGTGAGGGGCTCTCAGGTGTGGGCTCCACGTGGGAGCAGCAGGGGCCGCTCTGCTGCCCTCACCCAGCC